GCCATTCAGCGAGAGCTGGACAGGCTGAGAGCTGGGCAGGAAGAAACTGGATGGGGTTAAACAACAGCGAGTGTGGAGTCTGGCATCTGGGGAGGAATAACGGCGTGCAGCGGTACAGGATGGGGGATGAGAGGGAGCTGGGTGTCCTGGTGGACGACAGCTCGGCCATGAGCCAGCAGTGTGCCTTGTGGCCAAGAGGGCCAATGGCTTCCTGGGGTGCATTGCAGAGCGCGGCCAGCAGGTCGAGGGAGGCGATGCTCCCCCTCTGCTCTGCCCTGCTGAGGCCTCATCTGCAGCCCTGCGTGCAGTTCTGGGCTCCCCAGCACAAAACACACAGGGAGCTCTTGGGAACAGAACAGCGCAGGGCCACCAGGATGGCGAGGGGCCTGGAGCATCTCTGCTATGGGGAAAGGCTGAGTGAGCTGGGGCTGTGCAGCATGGAGGAAAGAAGGCGGAGAGGGGAGCTGATCCAGGTCTGTCAGCATCTGAGGTGTGGGGGCAGCACGGCGAGGATGGACTCTGATCAGTGGGGAGTGGAGACAGGAGGAGGGGAAACGGCCGGGAACTGAGCATAGGAAGTTGTGCAGCAGTGTGCGAAGGAACGGCTGTGCAGTGAGGGGAGGAGCGATGGAACAGGGTGCAGGGAGGGGGGAGAATGTGGGTCCCAACGTGTCTCTGTGGGTCCCAACGTGTCTCTGTGGGTCCCAACGTGTCTCTGTGGGTCCCAACGTGTCCCTATGGTCCCACTGCTCACTGCAGCAGGCTGCCCATGGAGGTGGTGGAGTCTCCTGCTCTGCAGATGCTCCAGACCTGCCTGGATGCCGAGCTGTGCGACTGCTGTAGGAACGGCTGGGCAGGGGGTTGGACTGCATGAGCTCTGCAGCTCCCTGCCAACCCCTGCAGTTCTGTGATCCCTCCCTGTGTCAGAGGTGTCCCCCAGCCCTGGGGGGCACAGGGAAGTGGGGTCAACGATTCTCTGCCCCCAGGAGCTCCCAGGAGGAAGAGCAGCTGAAGAGCAGCTTGCAGCAGCTGGAGCCCAGTGCTGCATCCCATGCCTGGAGCCCAGCCCGTCTCAGCCGCCCGGCACGCATGGTGCTGTCAGCAGCGCAGAGCCGTGCCGTGAGGCCTCCACCCCGAATTACTGCCAGCCACCCGGGGAGCAGCGCAGAGCAGGGACAGCCTGCAGCACGGGGTGAGTGAGGGCCTCAGCGCTGTGCCCCGCTGAGAGCTCAGGCGAGGGGATCTGTGGATCTGGAGGAGGGATTCTGGCTCTCCTGGCAGCCAGGGTTCAGCCGGGCAGGGTAGGACGTGTCTTGAGACAATGGTGGAGGTCATGTATGAAGGATCTCTTCTTGCTCTCCTGCAGGTGCAGCATTGGAAGTCCCAGCAGCCCCCAAGCGCGCCCGCAGGCAGTCAGGCAGCAGGCAGAGAGCTGGCAGAGCTGTGGGCAGGTAATGGATCTCTGCGTCGCTCTGCTCCTCCCACCCTCACTCTGATTTTGCTGCTCTGAATCCTTCAGAGCTGCTCCCTTCCCTGCACCCGATGTGCTTGGGATCCAGCAGCTCCCTCTCTTGCTTCCCTGCACATCCTCACCCCCACAACCCCTCCACCACCCAGGTCCCCTCAGCCTCTCACCAGGAATCCTGGGCCAGGAAGGAGAGCGAGAACGCAGGGCCGCAACACGAGCGGAGGGGAGAGCAGCGGTGGGGAGATGGCTCTGTGCCCTATTTGTTCAGGTGGGTGCTTGGAGAGGTGGGCACGAGCACAGAGCAGTGATGGGGGCTCAGCCCCAAGCTGTGGCACGACCTCCTCTCCACCCCCATCCCCCCAGGTTCCTTCAGCACAGCGCTGCTCCCCGCTCACGCCTCCCGCTGCGGCGAGGAAGAATCCGACCCCGAGGTGGAGCTGCTTTCCTGTGCCAGCAGCCCGGTGCTGTGCCCCATCTGCGGGCTCTGCTTCAGCTCAGCAGAGGTGGAGCAGCACTGCAGCACCTGTGGGGAGTGATGGACCCCCCCCCAACAAGCAATGATCTGCAGAGAGAGACTCGGCCCCACTGGGCTCTGGGGCAGGGACTGGGCTGTGGTTTGTGGTGCTCGTTCAATTCTGCCCCACGTGGCACGAGCTCAGCGCAGGAGAGGAGGCAAAAGGGCCAGGGGGCTGAAGGAAGAAGCCACATGGCTGCTGCTGCTCCCATCACTGAACCACTCAGCAGTGTGAACTGGGACCAGTAAATGTGAGCATCTGACTATGGGGGGTGGTGATCACCTCCCTCCCAGTGACACAGTGCAGGGTGTAGGGAACGTGGGGCTGATGGTGGCCCTGCGGGTGGAGTTTTAGGGCAGGCTGCAGCTCCTGGAGATGGGAGGAGTTGAGGGAGAGAAATAAAACAAAAGAGAGAAAAGAGAGCTGCTGTGGGTGCAGCATTGCCTGGAGGGGATGGGGTGGGCACGAGGGGGAGGAGGAGTGAAAGAAGATAGGGCAAAGTGTGGCAGGAAGCCCACGGTACTGAATCAAGCTGCTCCTGGCCCCAGTGTTGGGGGCAGTACAGAAACACCAAGCTTGGAAAAGACCTACAAGATCATCCAGTCCAACCATCCAATGGTCACCACGTGGTTTAGTGAGAACCAGTCACCAAACCCTTGCACAAAAGCTTCAACTCCTTGAACCCGCAGCGCTGCTCCTGCCCGTAGAAACAGGACTCCAACAGCAGGAGAAAAATACAATTTATTTACAAGTAGAAACACTTTTAAAAAGGTCTCCTCCCCCCCTCCACGAGGGCAGCAGGGAGCCAGGGTCCCTCGGGGACTGATGGCACCATCCCATTCCCTCTGCCCCGCGTGCCCCACAGCGGTCCCGAGTCCCTTTGGTGGTGCTGAGCTGGGAGGCAGCAAGGAGGAGCGAGGAGACAGGCTGGGAAACCTCAGAACTTGGTGTCCTTCAGCGCTCTGCGGCCGGCCTGCAAGAGAGAGGAGGGGGGTGAGGGATGGCCACCCCGCAAAGGGGGCTCAGGAGGTGCCCCCCAAGTTGCCCACCTTGCCCTTGGGGGACTTGGCGGAGGCGATGCGGGGCGAGCGGCGCGCCGTGCCGCGGGGGGAGTTCTTGGGGGTGGTTTTCCTGTTGGCAGCTCGGCGCAGCAGGCTGTTCCCCAGCTTCTTGGGGGTGTTGAGGATGCTGAAGGCCATCGACTGGCGCCGCTCAGGCTGGGAGGAAGAGGAAGGACGGCGAGGGGCTCGGGATGGGCCAGGGAGCTCTGGCTCTCCTTCGCAAAGTCCCTCTGAGCCACCCACCTGCTTGCTGGGCGCCTGCTGCTCGCTCCGCCGGCTGAGGTGGGAGCTGCGCCGCTCCCGGGGGGTCTGGGGACGTGGGAAGCAGCTGACAGGCTTCTTGGACTGGGAGAGAAGCAAGAGAGAGGATGAGTGGGGACGTTTAGCTGGGAAGTGGGATCGCAACCCAGGGGGCAGAGCTGGGACGGGAGCGGGGAAAGTCAGAAGGGTTCGGAGCTGCACCAGGGGAGTCTCCATGGCCAGCAGCATCCGGCGCTTCGCACCCTGATCGTCGGGGTGGGACGCCGAGGGGTCTCCGCTCACCTCAGGGGTTTCGGGGCCCTGGTGGGATTCGTCTGAGAGCCGTTTGCGCTGCTGCCTGGTGGTGATGCCACCGGGAGCCCACCCCGCTCCCAGCGTGCCGCGGCGGGCGGCCGTCCCCTCGGCGATCTGCGAGGGCTGCATGCTGGCGCGCCGCAGCGTCTCCGTCGGGTCGCCCGTCTTCATCTCCTCATCCGTGATGGTGCCCAGCAAGTCAGAAGGCTGCAGGGGTGGGGGGGAAGAGCGGGAGTCAGGAGCTGCACGCAGCTGGGTGCGGTGGGATGGGGTGGCTGGGTGCCCCCCCGTTACCCGGCTCTCCAGAGGGTAGCAGGTCTTGAGGTGCGGTGGGCAGGCGCGGTTGCGCTGCTGCAGCTCGGCGATGCGGTTCCAATCGTCCAGCTGCTCCGGTTCATCCTGACACGTCCCCAAGTAGATGCTGCTGCGACCTGAAAGCAAAACGGGGAGAATTGAAGAGGGGCAGCCCCGCGTTTAGACCAGGATACAGCTCCGCACCCAGCCGGCCCTGCTCACCCAAGCTGGAGCTGCTGCCCGCCTGAGAGCGTCGCAGGGCGCTGCGTGTGGCCGGCCGGTAGCCGGGGAGGCTGAGCAGCGCAGCGTGGCCTGATGGCTCCTGAGGGGAGGAGGTGTCCAGCTTGGTCAGGGAGTCCTGCGAGGAGAAGCTGGCCAGGGAGCGTGCAGAGCGCAGCCGGGAACGCGCCGGGGCGGCTTTCTGGGGCTGCTCGGAGAGGATGCTGCTGAAGGACGCGTCTGCGCCGCCCGGCTCCTCCGTGGCGGTCTCTTTCTGGCAGAAGGAAGAGGGGAAGAGTGAGGTGATGCAGCAAACCCCCAGCCCAGCGTTTGGCTCGGCCCCGCTCACCTTGGTCATGGTGATGTTGATGATCTGCGTGGTGCGGCGGCGCCCCGAGCGCGTCCTGCAGCCCGACTCCAGCGACACGTCGCCCAGAGAACCCGCGCTGCTCTCCAGCTTGGGCTGCGTGCGGCTGGCGATGGGTGTGAAGTAGAGGCTCTCCAAGGACTCCACCTTGCGTGGCAGCCGCTGTGACGTGCGTGGCTCTGCGCCATCTGGCACGGCTGAGCCGTCCGAGTGCGAGCGGGTGGCTTTCCTGCAGGATGCGGCACGAGGGCTGAGCGTGGGGCTGAGGGGCAAAGCGGGGCTGGGGGCTGCACGAGGCCACAAGGCAGCACCGTACCTGGTGGAGTTGAGCGGCGGCCCCTCGTCCAGGCTGAGGTCCAGGCTGTCGGTGCTGAGGTCGGAGGGGTTTTGGCGGAAGCTCTCCGGTTCCTTCAGCGTGGCCTTGGGGGCCGGCAACCTGCCGAGCTCCCGAAGCTGCTGGTCTGCAAACTCCAGCTGGGGGGAAGCAGGGAGAGGTGGATCCACACTTAGAGCGAGGAAGAGGAAGGAGGAAGGCAGAGAGTTGGGTTGTGCCTACCTGTGCCTCCAGACTGCGGACCTGCCCGCTCAGCTCCCTGCAGCTCAGCTCGGCCTCCTTGGCCTGCAGCACGCTCTGCTGCAGCTCCTTGGCCAAGCGCTCCGACTCCGTCCTCAGCTCCGCGTTCTCCTTCTGCAGCTGCTCCATGGCCTTCAGCTTCTCTGCCAGGTCCTGGTTCTGCTGCTTCTTTGCGTCGTAGTGAGTTTTTGCCTTTTCCATCTGAGAAGAAGCAGAAGGTGAAGGAAAAAAATCAGCAGCCCGTCGAGGTTCCCCCACTGAGCGCAGGGATGGCGACGGCTTGCAGCGGCTCACCTGGGCTTTGTAGTGCTCGGCCGCCTGCTCTTTCTGTGCCAGCTGCTCCTGCAGCTCAGCCATCCTCTCCTGCTGGCGCGTGGCCTCGCTCTGCAGCTCTCCTTCCAGCACCTGCATGGAAGGGATCGGATCAGACTCCCCCCCCCCAGCTCCACAGCAGAGCCGCCCCAGCTGCCCCTACCCCCTACCCACCTTAACTCTCTGCTGCTGGCTCCGCGTGGCCTTCTCATGCTGTGCCAGCTTCTTGTTCAGCTCCTCCACCTGGCAGGGCACAGGTTGGTCACCCGAAGGCAGCAGGCAGGGAAGGAAAACTCTGCTGCCCCCCTTCCCCTGGCCATCCCCTCGCACACCCGTGGCCGACGCAGCCGTCTCCAGCGCCAACTGTCCACAGTGGGATCAAGCAGCGGGAGGAGGCTCAGCCCCAAATGGTTTTGCCGTGCCAAAGTTCAGCGCGTTGCCCCAGGGGCTGTCACCTCCCCAGGGACGAGGGAGCATCCTGCGAAACCTCTAGGCTGGGGACAGGGATGGGGGCTTTGTCCCCACAAGGTGGGGCAGGGGATGGGGGTGACCCCGTGAGGACCAGCCCCACGTTGGCCACGTCTGCTCGAGCAGCAGCAGTTCCCCAGAGGTTGGCTCTGAGATCAAGTGCTGCGTTACAAAATAAAATAAAATAAAAAAAACACCCGCAATCCAACGCCTCCAGCTCAATGCGTGAGGGTGGAAGGGTGGGAAACTCTGTTCCTCCTCCCTGTGAGGTGAACATGAGAGCCCAGAGACCTGGAGCTGGGAACACCCCGCTGCCATCAGTGGGTAAGGAGGCAGCAGCTCTGCTGGCAGGCGGATGGGGCCGCGCGCCGTCACCGTTTAAGCAGCTGACACTCCATGTGTGTTACCTGCTTTGCTTGTTCTTTCTGAAATACCTCTAGCTGCTCCACCTGTGGCAAGCAAAAAGGAAAGGGTGAACACATGGCATGCGCAGGGCACTGCTCCCTGCAGGTGTGCAGCCCCCCAGCTCCCATCCCAAGGGGCCCAAGGGAAGGGTTTGTAGGGTTGTGACGAAATCGGGGCTTCCCCTATGCCTTAATGAACGTTGGGCCCTAAGATAACCCCCCTGCTTAGGAACAGGGATGGGGTGGGAGCAAAGACACCTGGGGTTGGTGAACCTGGGCTGCAAGACAGCCCCTGGCTTAGGAATGGGAATGGGGTGGGAGCAGAGCCCTGGCTCTAAGGGCTTTTGGGAAGCTCACGGGCAACCAACTCAGCTGGAAGCCACCACAGCCCTGGGCAGAGCCAGCAGAAGCGAGTGACACAGAGTGACACAGAAACAGAGCCCACGTGCCCCCCCCCATGGCACAGCCCCATCCCCATTGCTCTGCCCCAAAACCCACGTCGTGCACCCGCACCACGGAGCTCCGCCAGCCCCTACCTGCGCCACCAGCTTCTGCCTCTCCTCCTGGAACTTCTGCCTCTCCTCCAGCACCTTCACCTTGGCGTTTTCATACTTATTGCTCATCGCCTCCAGCTTCCTGGCCGCCTCCTCGGCCTCCTGCCTGCTGTTGGCCATCGCCTTCTCCGCCTCCAGCCTCACGCACTCCAGTTCCCGCGTGTGCTTCTCCCTCACCTGCCCCAGCTCAGCATCCAGGCGCTGCTGCCCGCGGCTCACGCTCTCATTCAGCGCACGGTTCTCCTCAGCCAGCCGGCCGTTGGCTGCTTGTAGGGCTGCCAGCCTCTCGCTGGAGCTCGCTGCCTCCTTCTGCAGCCGCTGCAGCGCACGCTCCTGCTCAGCTGCTCTGTCACGCAGGGCCGGCAGCTCGGCCACCTCCAGCCTGGCCCGGGCCAGCTCCGCCTGCAGCGCATTGGTGGCCTTCGCCCTCTGCTCCAGGTCCTCGCGGTGCTTGCTCTCCAGCGAGGCACGCTCGGCTTGCAGCTGCTGGCAGAGGTGTTTCAGTGGCACCACCTCTCCGGCCAACGCCTGGGCACTGCCCAGCTCCTGCTGCAGGGAGGAGAGGAGCTGCTCCTTCTGGAAGAACTTGTCCTGGCAGAC